CCCTGACCTCCCCCCAACACCCAGCCTTCTGCCCTGCACCTCCACACACACACCCCAGACTTATAGAGAGAGGCCTTCTAAAAAACTTTAACATGTATTACCGGCACGCGAAACCTTAAATTAAAGTGAATAAATGAAGACTCGGCACACCACTTCTGAAAGGTTGTTGACCCCTGGTCTAGTCTGACCTCCTGCACAACACAGGCCGCAGAATCTAACCCACCTACTCCTGCAACAAACCCCTAACCTATGTCTGAGCCATTGAAGTCCTCAAATCATGGTTTAAAAACTTCAAGGTGCAAAGAATCCTCCAGCAAGTGACCCGTTGCCCACGCTGCAGAGGAAGGCGAAAACCCCCCAGGGCCTCTGCCAATCTCCCCTGGAGGAAAATTCCTTCCCAACCCCAAATATGGCGATCAGCTAAACCCTGAGCATGTGGGCAAGATTCACCAGCCAGACACCCAGGAAAGAATTCTCTGTTGTAACTCAGATCCCACCCCATCTAACATCCCATCACAGGCCATTTGGGCATATTTACTGCTAATAGTCAAAGATCAATTAATTGCCAAAATTAGGCTATCCCATCCCATACCATCTCCTCCATAAACTTATCAAGCTTAGTCTTGAAGCCAGATATGTCTTTTGCCCCCACTACTCCCCTTGGAAGGCTGTTCCAGAACTTCACTCCTCTGATGGTTAGAAACCTTCGTCTAATTTCAAGTCTAAACTTCCTGATGGCCAGTTTATATCCATTTGTTCTTGTGTCCACATTGGTACTGAGCTTAAATAATTCCTCTCCCTCCCTGGTATTTATCCCTCTGATATATTTATAAAGAGCAATCATATCTCCCCTCAGCCTTCTTTTGGTGAGGCTAAACAAGCCAAGCTCTTTGAGTCATCTTTCATAAGACAGGTTTTCCATTCCTCGGATCATCCTAGTAGCCCTTCTCTGTACCTGTTCCAGTTTGAATTCATCCTTCTTAAACACGGGAGACCAGAACTGCACAGAGTATTCCAGATGAGGTCTCACCAGTGCCAGGTGGGAGCTCCGGGCTGGGATTGAGGGTGGGAAGGGGATCAGGGCTGGAGCAGGGGGGGGTTCATGAGTACAGGGTCTGGGCGGCGCTTACCTCAGGCAGCTCCCAGAAGCAACGGCATGTCCCCCTTCTGGCTCCTATGCGGAGGCATGGCCATGCAGTTCTGCACATTGCCCCATCCGCAGGCACCGCCCCCGCAGCTCCCATTGGCCACAGTTCCCAGACAATGGGAGCTGGGGAGCTGGCGCTTGGGGCGGGGGCAGCACACGGAGCCCCTTGGTTGCCCCTATGCCTAGGAGCCAGAGGGGGAACATGCCGCTGCTTCTGGGAGACGCACGGAGCCGTGGCAGGCAGGGATCCTGCCTTAGCTCTGCTGCGCCGCTGACTGGACTTTTAACAGCCCGGTCAGCAGGGTCCCTTTTCAACCAGGCATTCCAGTTGAAAACCAGACACCTAGCAACCCTAGTGTGGGGGCTGGGAGGGAAGATTGAAAGGGTCAGCTGCCCTGGCTTTGGTGGAGCCAGGAGTGTAAGTAGGACCCCCCTCGCTACACAAACATTGTTAGCAACTACTGCAATTTTAGTTCAAGTTTTGTGCCTTTTGATGTCCATAAAGTCCCAGCTCCCAGACTCTGGTGTTTCCGCGAGAACCTGCATTCATTACACACCAAGAACTGTTCTAAAGTGCAACATGCAGAGAAAATCTGCCGGTGTAACATGAACGCACAAAACCCCAACATCCAGTGGGGAAACAAACTTATTTGTTACTAACATCCAGCTCCTGACTCCTGAGCTCAGAAACCTGGGAACTGGCCCTACGGGAGATTGGTCAGGCGGGGGGGGAGGAAGGGAGAGTATGGAGTCCCTCTGGAGGCGGGACTCAGGGCAGCCCCATGCTCCTGCCACCCAAAACCTGCCCAGCGCGGCCCTGACACCTCTCCCCCCCCCAGCTGCTCAGCCCGGACCCCGGGGGCTCGAAGAGTTACAGCCCCCGAGGTTCCTAGGCCCGACCCGTGTGTCCCTGACCCAGCCCCTCGGCGGATCTCACCGCCATCTTGGAGGGGGCTCTGTGGAGTTTGCGCAGCTCTGGGGAGAGAGGGCCGAGAGCAGGGTTACCTGCGCCATCTTGGAGAGGGGCAGCGCGGGAGCAGCAACACTCCCTTCCGGAAGTTCCGTCCTCCAGCCGTCCTAGCCTGGCCTCTCTATGGCCTAAACCGGAACTGCTACTCTTGCTGCGTCTGCCCGTCTTGTCTTTCCGCCCGGCCCGACTCTATGACCGGGGTGAATAGCGCCTCTAGTCCGACGTGCGCGAGCGGGGGGTGGGGAAGGGAGCGAGTAATAACGGCCTCCTGCGGCAGCTTCTACCCACCCCTGCGATCAGCTCGGCCCAGGCTGCCTTCGGCGGGGGGTGCAGGTAAGGGGGAGAGCAGCTCCTGCCCCAGACAAGGCGATGATTGGTCGGTGCCTGGGTATTAACTGTTGGTAACCAATGGCCACTCCCCAGGCACTGACCAATCACTCACTGTTGATTGGTCAGTACCTGGGTATTAGTACTGGTAACCAATGACTGAAGGACAAAGAGCTGATTGGTTGGTGCTTGGGTGTTAATAGTTGGTAACCAATTGTTGCTGCCTAAGGGCCAGTGTGCTGATTGGCCCGTGCCTGAGTATTAGTGCTGGTAACCAATGGCTGTCCTCTGAAGCATTGATGGGAGGGTTCCAGTACTACCTGCTGATGAACCAGTGTTGAGCTGGTGTCTGAAGGAGCAGGTGGATGGGAGGAGTTGAACTGAATGAACTTCCCCTGAGATGGGAGCAAGACTTGCTGCTTCAGGTCTTAACAGTGGGCTCAGCTGGGCACATGCAGCTCTCCCTCACTACACTATGCTCAGACCCGGTCTGAGGGCAAGATTTAACCACTGGTAGCCATATGGCTCATTGCAGCACCAATAGTGGTGATTGGTATCAGCATAGGCACCGACTCCATGGGTGCTCCGGGGCTGACTCTGGTGCCGACTCCGTGGGTGCACTGTTCCTATTTACCATGTGAGCAATCAGAGAGTTCTCTTCTGATCAGGGCTGTCAAATGACTAAAAAAAATGATCACAATCGCAAGATTAAAAAAATAGTTACAATTAATCACAGCTTTAATTGCACTGTTAAACAATAATAGAATAGGTTTCAGAGTAGCAGCCGTGTTAGTCTGTATCCGCAAAAAGAACAGGAGTACTTGTGGCACCTTAGAGACTAACAAATTTAT